AAATTGACTCAACATTGCCTATTAATTATTGTGTGACAACGGGACTCATGGCATGTTCAATCAAAGTAACAGATGCTTTATTTTGCACTTCTCTGTTCTTGCTTGGTTATCATGTAATGATGAGAAGCGTGCTGTCCCTTATTCCATAATTAATATTTTCCTCAGAATTCTTCAGTAAGTTATCACTACCCCACTATTATATTATTAATGAAATCCTATAAAGTCTGGCATTTATAACTACTATAAAATTGGCAGTAGTAGACTTCAATCCAAAAGGAGTCTACTTAGAGATAGTGAATAAACCAAGACATCAGATCACATGCGTGACTTTGCAATTTAAAAACCAGTAGCCCCAGTACCTATTTTCTAAAACTTTATACAGTCAAACAATTGTTTGTTTAGATTGTGCTGTAGCCTGCAGTTAAAGACAAATTTATACTGTCATTACAATTGTAAAAGACTGGCAACAAATAATAAATTGTTACAGATGCAATTATTAGACAGTTGCCAAGTACTGATCACTTTATTGTGAAGTTTGATGTTTTAGTGAATAAGCGTAATGACCACAATATCACTTGACAAACAAAATACCTTGGCGTACTGAGGTAAAGAGAAGGTAAAACTGAATGGTTGTTTGCTTTCAAGCTACAAAATACGGCATTGTGAAATGTACACCTTTCAACCTTTGACCTCAATGCAATGAATGTTTCTGACACTGGATGGCTTATATATCCTACATAGTTTGGATCAGGAGTTAATTTTTACTGTATGAAATATTTACAATTGTTCACCATATAGTCAACAATCATTTACTTAAAATGCAGTTTACATGCATGATTAAACGGCAATACACATTAAAACAGTTCAGCCTGGTACTCAATTAGAAAGCCTGGCAGTTGTCAGTTTTACACCTCCAGAATCAGACTATATTAGATTAAAACGTTGTTCTTCTTTTCAATTTACCGGGTATATGTGCTTGGATCTAATCTTGAAATTACATACTAATTGGGCTATTACTTGGTATTTCTAAAACAAAAACAATTTTTAAATGAAAAAAATTGAAATTAGGTCATTCCTTCACCAGTGAATTAGCATAGTTGGTTAAGAATTCCTGTCAGATATCAATTTCACCCTTAGGGTTAAACATTCTATGACATGAACAGAAAATAGTCTTGCATAATGTAAAATGATTCCCTATATGCGGTACTACATCAGAACACAGTTATTCTGTACAGATAGCATTATATTTGTACATGGTTGTTTGGTTTGTTCTAAAAAAGTCAAGGGAAAGTCATAGTGGTTGCTAAATCACCTTTGTAAACTTTTCTTGTGGACGCGATAATTCAAAAAATATTTAGTCGATCACTATCAAACTTATATGTACAATATATAGTTAATCTGTACGCGCAAGTAACCTATATGATTGATCTACCGAAAGTCTACTTTTTTGTGTGCACAGATTCCTTTCAGTGACCTTCATTAAATAGGTTATAGTACACCAGTGTGCATGGATTCCTCAGCTCCTGAGAGCGAGGTTATTTGTAGATATGTTGGCGATCGCCGCTGTGTCTGCGGAAGTACTATGGGAGATTGCATGATGGGAGTGAAAAGTCTTTTGATCAGTAAGATATTTTTAGAAAAGAGAAAACTAGAGTGACTGTGAAATAAAGGTTGGTTTTAAATATAAAACATTATGGAATCTGAATGAAATAATGAAAGGAAATTGAACAGGTATGAATGGGCAATAATATGGCAAGAATGCAAGGTCAGAATCGGGGGGGGGGGGGGGATGGGGTCAAAATGCGTCACAATACATCCATCGGCTGTCAACAACTATGGATGCGGAAAAGTCTTGTTTTTCAGTTTGCTTGAATAACCGGGGAAAAAATTTATGCCAATTCTGTGTTTCAGTAACAGTATTTGCTGCTTTTTTGTGCAATGGAAATTAATACAAGAAATG